CGAATAATCCCCTCCGTTCTTCCCTCTTCCTTTTTTTAACATTCAGGGCGAGTCTCCTGACAGCAGGACTCGGTTAAAACGGCCTCCAGCCCTTCCCCATCGCAAGAGTGGTTTTTCTTCTTACCCTTCCGTCTGGGCCGCAAACCGGGGCCTCGCGTAGCACCCGAGGCCGAGAAGAGCGCCTCTTGGTCGGCCGAGCCAAGCTCCCGCGTCACGGCCGACGGGAACCAATCAGGCTCCTCCTCCTCAGCGCGCGCCCGGGAAGCGCCTTCGCTTTTTTTGGCCACCGTCGCCACCGCTGCTTAGAGGCCGCTTGTGCGCAAACTCCGTGGTGGCCGCGGGGGTGGGTGGAGTTTGGTTCCATGTAGGGGCGGAGCTACTCCGACTCCACCCTCAGTAGCAATGCGCATTACGGCGGAGAAAAAGATGTTCCGTAACGCTCTTGCCGCAAACGGCGAGGTTTGCTGGCGTTACGGCCCGATCGGTGTTACGCAAACGGCGTAGGAGGAAAAGCTGCGGAGAATGTGTTTATTCTGCCATGTGGTTGTGTGCGCGCGACGCTTAAACCGGCTAATGATGCAAAGGACTGTAAGTGCTTCACGTGCAAACTTTTTTCCTCTCACTTATTTTGAACCATCATTGTAAATCAGGGGTCTTCAAACTTAACAGATTTAAGACTTGAGGACTTCAACTCCCAAAATTCCTCCTCCACCCATGTTAGCTTAGGAATTCTGGGAGTTGAAGTCCACAAGTCTTAACGCTGCCACGTTTGAAGACCCTTGTAAATAAACCATTTGTGAAAAAATTAGGTTGGCTCCACAAATTGGTTGATAATATAGTGGGAGTGTAGTTTATATTTCATATTTCTGCCTCTGAGATGTATGGTACTGCATTGTTTGCATGTTAACCATTATTATTACCATATTATTATTTACCATCATTATTTCATTGCTATCCTAGCTCTCCACCTGCCAGGAGTCTAGACTGGAAGAAACGGGGAATTAAAAATAATAACCAAGGAAAAAAACAACAAAAAAATCAATTTGCGGAATGCATAAAAATGGCATTCCTAGAAACAGGGTTGGAATGGACCTCAAGAGGTCATCAAGCCCAACCCTCTGCAGGATTTGCTGTGCTGTTTCCAACTGATGACTATTTAGCCTAGCCTGTTTGAAAACTTCCAAGAAAGGGGAAGAAACCATCCCTTGTGGTAACTCCTTCCACTGACAGCTCTTGGTGTCAAGACAACAAAGGACATTATTGTTAAACATAGATAGGGCTACCACATCCCATTGTGGGTCTATTAGTGTTTGTACTCTTGGGAACTTTTAATGGGTTAAAATGTATTGTTTTAATAACAATAATTTTTTTTCACCTTTTACACATATTGATCTTAATTTTAATAGTACTGTGTCATCATTATTATACAAATTATTATACAAACCAATCTCATGTAAACATCTACATTTATATACCTTTATATGCATTCATATATATTTATAATTTTCTTGTCTCCTTTATCCTTATATTGTTCAACCATTTAGACCAATTATCCCAAATTTTGTAATACTCCGACTCTTCTTTATCTTTTAATTTTAACGTCAATTTATCCATTTCAGCACAATCTAGAATTTTCTGAATTACTGATTCCTCCGAGGGCATGTTATTTTGTTTCCTTGTTGCTGTCAAAATATGTAGTAAAATATATTTAATCTTTTTCCTATATTTCCCTTTAATTATTCCCAAAAGGAACAACTCCGTTTTAAATTCTATTTGATCTTCCACTATTTTTTTTTATCCAACTCCATATTTTGGTCCAGTACTTTTGGGCTTCTGAGCATGACTACCACATATGATAGAAGGTACCTTGGTTCCGTTTGCATTTCTAGCATGTTGGATTCATGTTAGGATACATTTTGGCCAATCTCATTGGTGGCAAATGCCAACAATAGAGCAAGTCTGGCAAAAGAAAGTACAATAATAAAATACGTTTGTGGGAAATATAAAGACTGAGATTAGCTAGCAGCAGAGCTGATGGAGTCCTGCCCCATTTAAGACCTCTTCCCAGCCAACCTAGCTGCTTAGCACAAACAGCAGCCCTGCAGCAAAACAGCTGGGTGTGGTTGTGGTGAAGCAGTTAACCTTGAAGGATGCTGGAAGTGAAAAGGTTTGTGGGTTTTGCTATTCTGTATAGGGAAGCAACCTGAAATTAAGGAGAACTGTAGTTTACTCCTGATAATAAGGGGCATCAATGGACTAGGAGAGAGTATGAAGACAAACTGGGGCTACTACCCAAGGTGTGTGGGTTGCCTAAAGGCCAAGGAGACTGAGGTAGGTCCTCAGTCTAGCGGGTGAGAGCCCACTGAATTGGGTACAGACAAAAGGAACCTATTGCATCGCGTAACGGAGTGAGCTCCCGTTACTTGCCCCAGCTTCTGCCAACCTAGCAGTTCGAAAGCATGTAAAAATGCAAGTAGAAAAATAGGGAGCCCTTTGGTGGGAAGGTAACAGTGTTATGTGCGCCTTCGGCATTTAGTCATGCTGGCCACATGACCACGGAGACATCTTTGGACAGCACTGGCTCTTCAGCTTTGTGACGGAGATGAACACCGCCCCCTAGAGTTGGAAATGACTAGCACGTATGTGCAAGAGGAACCTTTACCTTTTTTATACTTTACTACTACTGTTTCCCCGAAAATAAGACCTGGTCTTATTTTCTTTTGGGCTTGAAAATAAGCACTCGGGATTATTTTCAGGGAGGTCTTTTTATTTTTTTTAAGTGCAGGAGGCAGCGAGCACAGGGGCCAACGGGAGTGGGAGCATAGGTACTGTTGGCCCTGCCTTCTCTGTCCCACTGTCCGCTTGCCCGTAGCCGCAACAGGCCAAGCTCTTGGTGTGCCTGGCCTCCACGTGCCCTGCTTGCTTGCTGGCCCAGCTGTTGCTATGACACTTTTCAGCCATGGCGCCTCATGGGGGCTCCTTGCCCTCCTGGCAGGGCGGTTGGGAGGCCAGGTCATGCCGAGACCTTGGCCCATATTGAGGCCGTGGGCAAGTAGACTATGGGACGGAGAGGGCGGGGCTGGTGGTAGCTGCCCATACATTTTCCCCCCAGAGGCAGATAAAACTTTGCTTGCAAAGGGGACTCTAATAGCTCCATTCCCAAGCACCCCCTAGGCAGCCAAACACTTTTCACCCGGACGGAGAAATGACAGAGACTCAAAGCTTTGCAAGTAGACAAAGCTTCGTCTCCTTCTGGGAGAAAACTGCAGCAGAGGCAGGTGGAGGCAGAGGCAATCCCAACGTGCTGCCCACGCCATCCCAACATTTCTTGGCTTTTCTGTGGTCACACTGACCCAAACGCCCACACAAGGCATTGGGATTGCCTGTTTCCCCTTATTCCTATGCCTTCACCTGCTGTCAGTGCCGCCACGCAAGCCTCCCATGAGTCAGGCAGCCGTGCCAGATTGCCTGTCTTTTCACGCTCACACTTATTTGTGCTGCACCAAGGAGCCAGTGTGCTGTGGCTGATGCTGGACACAGTCAGCCCCTGCATGCTTGCCACCTCTCCTATTAACATACCCATAGCCCCTATCCTTGTTTTCAGGATAGGGCTTATATTACACCCACCCCCAAAAATCAGGCTAGGGCTTGTTTTCAGGGTGGGTCTTATTTTCGGGGAAACACAGTTAAAGCTTAGGTGGCTATACAAATAGCGAAGCTACATCTGGTATTTTCACGGGGGCATGGTGACTCACACTTCAAGCTGAGAAAGCTTGGTTGTGTCATAATTCCTCCAGGGCTGGCCTTTGAGAAATAATTCACCCCGGAAAATAATGTCTTTATCCTGTGTGAGCAGCTGCAAAACCAATTGTCTTTTTTCCTGGGTCTGACTACTCTAGATTAAGTCCTGGTATGTATTTAACTTTGCTTTTTTTCCTGGAAACTTTTTTTTTAATGTAGAGAACGTTTACTACCCTAATTGATTTATGGATTAAAAGACCTTGTCTTTGCTTCAGTGTTCTGGTATTTGCTAAGCACAGCATTTCCTCTGGTTGACCGGGTCACTTTCTACAGCAGTGATAAGCACGGTTTATAGTTTATGATTTTCTACATATAGCTATACTGCTATACTCCCTTGTCATTTATAATAATTTGAAGTAAATTCAATATCCACGAGGCTACAAACTTCTTTTTGCACGGGTTTAAAAAGATTAGGTAATTTCAAAATTATGGGAGAGATCATGTCAAAAATTCTGTTAAGATTCTCTTAATTGAAAATAATCTCTACTATTATGACTCGTTTGAGGATCTTTATGCAAAATAAAACTTTCACAAAAGAAAATTGATGCATATTAGCTAAAATGAAGATACTCCAATGTTCAGTTTTTTTTATGGTATTAAATATTAGTACATTGAAATCTACAAATTATAAATCCCCACAATTTTCCTATGGTATACATTCTTCAACAAGAATATTATAATCATATAACTGAGTACAATTCTACAGGTCCAATTTTCCATTCATAAGAAAAATGGCTTAGCTGTTGCTTTTAAAAAGTAAACTGCAATCAAAGAGAGGCATTTATTTATTGACAGAATATTGATGGCTCTCTTGAGACAGCAGAACCTTGGCTGATCTCAGAACAGGTAGTCCTCGAGTTACAGCAGCACTGAAAAAAGCGACATGACACTTTTTGTGTCATAACACAAAAATGTGACACATAAAAGTGTAACACTTTTATGCTGCAACATCCCCTTGGTCACATGATCAAAACTCCAAAATTGGCAACTATTTCATATTTTTGACGGTTGCTATGTCCCGAGGTCATATGATCTCCTTTTGTGACCTTCTGACAAGCAAAGTCAATGGGTAATCCAGATTCACTTAACAACCACATTACTAAATTTAACAAACGCAATGATTCATTTAACAACTGTGGCAAGGGAAGTCGTACAATGGGAACAAACTCATTTTACACAGGTTTCCCTTAGCAATTCCACTGTGGTTGTAACTTGGGGACTAACTGTACATTAAGCCACAGAAATTTTACTTATTACAATTGTAATCACATTTCTTAATAAAATTATATTAAAATGATTTTACTTAAGAGCAGAATATCAGTCCCTTGATCCAGCAAGAGATTCTTGCACACAAGTAGTTTCCTAATTACAAAACAGAATGAGAATCCAAAACATCTTGTATAGTGAGTAAAATATTCTGAAAAGTATTATGTGAGGAGCACACATCTAGAAAAGTTCTTACTCAAAACATAACAGGGTTGACATAATTTTGTGAACCAAAACTTTCTCTTCATTATTTCAGTATTAAAGTATTCTCCTGAAATTTCATATTTACGTTCTCTCAGCTCCAGCAATTAACTTTTGCTTCAAACCGTGTCTAAATTTGTGGCCTAGCCGCTTACATACCAAAACAGCTAAAATGTTTTGTACAAAATTATCCTTCAGAGGTCCAAAAATAAAGAGCCACTTTTTCTCTTTATGTAATTCAGATTTAAACCATTACCGTATTTGTCTGGCAATATGATACATGCAAATATATTGGTTTTGTTGAGTTCTGATGGGGAGTTTTTTGTGTGTGACCATAAGCGGACCCTGCACCTGCAGGAATATGCTAGGAAAAAGGTTTTTTTGTGATAATATCTTTATCATACAGCCTTATAACTTAAAGCATCAAAAAGATTCTTCTTCAGTTGGGCAACCATGACAAGCTCTAAATTCAATATATCAAGCAGCTTTTAAAAAAAGAAGTATTATGACCCTCGAGGGCAGCACCATAACGAAATCATCAAAATAAATGTCTTTCCTGAATCTGTCTTCCGGCAATCAGAAATATTCACTTACAGATATAAACAGGAATGGTGAAAGGGAAACAGGGTTGCACGAAGAGGCTTCCAAGTTCGTAGAGCCCCAGGTTTTGCTACCACGCACCTTGGAGATGGAAAATAATGACGGCCCCAGTTTGCAACGCTGCCTTCACCACCACACAAAACGAGGTAAGTCTGGGCTGATTCAAGTCACTCAGTGTCATTCAGGAGCTGCAATTCAAAGACCTGCAGGTGTTCCTTAAACCGCCGGTGCGTCTCGGCACCGTGTGGCCGCCGTTCACGCTGCAACTCGCAGATGCGCAGGCGGAGTCTCTGTTCGCGTCGGCGGCAAGCCTGCAGTTGCCGCTGTGCTTTTCCTAGAGCATCAAGTGCTGCCTCAGCCCGCCTCTTCCAGAGCAAGGCGCTACCCACCTGGTAGCTGTGCTCATTCTGGATGTAGGCACCAGCCGGGGGTGGTAGTCGCAGCATGTAGAGGGAGAGAGAAACGGGTTGAGATGGATCCCCTACAGGTTCTGGGAGAGCCGGAGATTGAGAGGCCTCTTCTTGGCCAGTGGCAGCGGGTGATCGTTCCAGGGGTACGTCTGACAGAGTGGCCAAATTCTCTGGTTCTGACCCTGGGAGATTGGGCTGGCTTCGAAGCTCACCAGTAGTGGGAGCAGCCCCGGGACTTGGCAGCTCTTGCATGGGGAAGCAAGAGACATCCATACACAGTGTAGTGGTCTCCTCGGCAGGATAGCAGCCACGGCTGTGAAAAAGGGACAGAATCGAGGTCAGCTGAGGAGTAACAGCTACCTAACATAAGGTGTGACACACAGTAACCAGCAGAGGAAAACATGATTGCAGGTGCAGGTTGCCCACGTAGAATATATTCTGCCCATAGGCTAGAAGGAGATAACATGAAGTGAAGGTTGTGAGGTGAAGCTTGGTGCCCAAAACGGGCTGAAAACGGGTCAAAAACCACCCCAAAATAGGCCTGAAAATGGAGCCATGTGCCCAAAAATGGATCAAAAACCGCCCCAGCCAGAAATCAGACCAAAAACAGGGCTGCACATCCAAAAATGGGCCAAAACCCACCCGAAACCAGGTCCAAAAACAGGCCTGAAAACAGGGTCATGCACCCCAAAACGGGCCTGAAAACCACTACAAAACAGGCCAAAAACAGGGCTGCACACCCAAAATTGAGCCGAAAACCACCCGAATACAGCCCAGAAAACGGGCCTGAATGCCTAAAAAGAAGATAGAATAGAAACAAATAATTCCCTCAACCTTGTCCAACAATTTACTAAGCCTGCACTACTATTAATCTTATCACTCCTTATCACCCATCCCCTCCCACTTGTGACTGTATGACTGTAAACTTGTTGCTTGTATCCTAACGATTTTCATTGACTGTTTTCTAGTATGATTTGATTGCTTATTGTATGTATCCTATGACTATCATTAAGTGTTGTACCTGATGATTCTTGACTCTTGACGAATGTGTCTTTTCTCTTATGTACACTGAGAGCATTTGCACCAAGACAAATTCCTTGTGTGTCCAATCACACTTGGCCAATAAATAATTCTATTATATTCTACCATAAGAAGATGGGGATACATATAGCAAAAAGAAGAAAAAGGTGATTCAATTAAGCCACTAAATTACATTAAGCCACTAAATTACACTGATGTTTTTCACATTTTAATATTCTTAACTTAACCCATAGTTTTCTCTCTGGTTCCAATCTCAGATTCCACAATTCCATTCTGTTATATACAAAATTCATTTTAAACTTACTAATGACATTAATCTATAGATTATGTTTTTTACTCTATTAGGAAGTAAGCATCACTGAATGTACTGTGACCTACTTCTAAATAAAATATGCACAGGGTTACAGAGAACATGAGGTCAGAAGAGTGGGACTCACCTCTGCTTCTGTTGATATTTTGCAAATTTGGAACTGTTTAATTTAGGCTTCCGGCGTGGCTTTGCTTGAGGCTCAAATATCGTAGGAACTGCGCCTTCCTTGAGGCGATGATAGCCGCTACAAAGGAAACAAACCCCAGATATCAAAGTAGTTACTGGCTCAGAAAGCCTGGGATCTGGACTGTGGATCGCTGGAGGAGAAGGCAGATCTTCTGAGGGCTTTGGAATTAGCCAGTTACATTCTATTTTGAGTATTATTTGTCCAGCTTTTTCATGTACAGACATATTAAATAAAGTAATTAATTTTGGCCACCTATATTTAGCCCTTTCCTTTCCTAATTCTGTTTGATATCTACAACCCAGAAGTCTTACAATGAAATAAAGTCAAGTTAAGTTATAATCAATATGATCTGTTTTGGCAATACTATCTAGTACAGGGGTGTCAAACTCAAGGCCCGTGGGCAGCACGCTGCTGGCCAAAAAAAGGCTCAAAAACAACCCTGAAAATGGCCCCAAAACAGCCCCCCAAACCACCTGAAAATGGGTCAGAAACCACCTGAAAATGGGCCTGAAAACCAGCTCAAAAACCAGCCGAAAATTGCCTGGAAAAGTCCAAAAATAGGGCCGTGCACCCAAAAATGGGCCCCCAAACCACCTGAAAACAGGCTCCAAACAATGAACTGGCCAGAAAATGAGTCAAAAATGGGCCCACGCACCCAAAAATGGGTCAAAAATGGGCCTGAAAACCACCCCAAAACAGGATGGAAACAGGTCCCAAAATAGGCCAAAAACAGTGCCCCCCAACTGCCTGAAACAGGCCACGCGCCCAAAACTGTCCTGAAAACGGGCCCCCCAAAATGGTCAAAAACGGGACCGAGTGCAGCCCGTTTTCGGCCAGCAGAGTGCTGAAGGCCATGGAGAATGAAAGCAAGGTGCAGGGGGGCTGCGCGTGGACCGCCATGCCCCATTTTGGCTGGTAGAATGCTGTAGGAGGCAGCCACCCCCTCTGCCTCTTCTGCCCCCCCCGTGCCCCCCCCCCCCCGGGCCACGGAGAACTACAATGCTGATCTGGCCTTCGAAGAAATCCAGTTTGACACCCCTGATCTAGTAAGTGCTATTGCTACTGTCAAACCGCTGCCAAGAAAATTACACCGACATACCTACAAAAATCACCAGAGGCTGAACTTGAACGAGACTGTTAACTTTTCAGCTTTAAAATGCAGCTCAAGGTAATCCTTTGGGTGGATGCATACCTTTAGAATGGTAATATCCTGCTGGCCCTGTTTTCACAAATTGGTCAGAAAGTTGATGAGATTAAAACTCAGAACATCTCCCACCCTGTCTTTTCTCCTGGCAGTAAGGTAGGGAAGCATTTCTAGAGAAAGCACTGGGCTATACCTTCCAGGCTTTTTATTTTTTAAAAAAGGGGTTGTGAGTGAATTGTTTCCCATATTCGTAGTGTTTTAAAACTGAACGAAAGTCAGATGGAACAGGTATACTGGAAGAACCATTCCTCTCCATGGGAAGGATATCATCTATATTGATATCGTCTACGTTGCAAACTGTCTATTTTAACTCTGCATGCTCTTTCATGTTTTTCAAATATTGGAATTACCTACCTGGTGCCCACTAGTTCAAAGCAATTCTTCTCAAAGTGCTTGGAGCAAAAATAAACATATTTAGAGGCAGGGTCCCAGAGACCCTGCCCACTCATGTCCTTCCGCTGACAATTCTCCAACCATGTGGTTCTCCGTGGATTGTCCTTTGGCAATCTGTGAGAAGAGATATTAAGTGATTAATTAATTGGAGATCAGAGGTCACATGCAAGATTATGCATATCTCTCTCCCACCCTCAAGTAAAATAGCTTTGATGGCAGTGTGGCTACCTCTGAAGGCCATCTTCTGAGAGACTAGTGGTTTTCTTGTATAGTTGGTGGGCCTGGGGTCTGATCCAGCAGGCCACACAGTGTATGTTCTTACTATCAGGATTCCAGCAGTTTCCCTAATTAAATCATGAGCCAAGCTTCAAAAACGTCAAAGGAATTATTAGGAGCTAACATGTCGGTATGACCTATACTTTCGCTGATTCTGAGACATGTAATTCACTATCACCCTTGACCCTGGTTTTCAGCCACCCCTCTGGATGTATCATAATTCATATTCTCCAAGGAAACACGTTCATAGCCAATTAGAGATTTGCACCGGTCGCTTAGTTATAATCTTTGCAAGATAAAAATGGAATGTACTTTCGGTTCCAAACTGCTGCACTGCTCTTTCAATTCCTTCCTGCCCCCTCTTTCTGTTCATGGCAACTCTAAAACATGCATAGAAATGTTTTATGTCTTGACACTTACATTCTTTATCCTACCAACTTTCAGCTTCACATGGGAATAGGAGTCTGCAAAGGCAAAGAATAAAAACCATTTCTCACCGATGGAAAGAAATGCCTCGGTTGCGTGTTTCAGGTATATCACGAGTGCAACAGCCAGTAGCAGAGCAGTGACGGGGCATCTGCAAGAAGAAAAAGAAAAACTCCATAGCATGTAACTCCTACTATTTTGAGGATCAAGTCATAGGTTTTTTTCTTAAGAGATAACAGGTACCCAGAAGACTCCAGAACTCGGTTAAAGTTTCAATATTCTCTACCAACAACCGTTGAAAGCAGAACTAGGTTTAGTTTACAGAATGGTTTAGAGCATGGGTGTCAAACTCGCCATGTCATGTTGCCATTACATGATGTTTTTCCCCTTCGTGGAGCTGGGGTGGGCATTGCCTGCAAATAGCCTGCATGTGACCATCTGGCCTACGGGCTGCCAATTTGATGCCCCTGGTTTAAAGCTACATTTTAATCAATGGAAGGATACTGAAATCACTGTATTAATTAGCTGCCGGAAATATTGTTCATCCATTACTCTGGCTTTGCAAAATACACCAGCAAATTGTGGAAACTTTGACTTCTATTTTTTCAACAGGATTATGAAACTAAGACTCCGAAGAAGCTGAATATTTTGACATATACTGTGCTTTTATACATTTTGTAAATTTTGGGATGTTTTCGATAAAAATAAAAGAGTAGAACTATTTTTTTTTCCAAGGCTTGCTAATGTACTGTACGCAATGTCAGATTAATATACGAAAATCATCCCTGGGTGTGACAACGTGCATTATCATTAATTTTTAAAAATGAACTTCCGTGCAATTCAGATTTAAGGAAGCCTAAAATTTAGGAGGAAGAATTCGCCTTGCTAACAACCAAGTCATGTTGGCAAGACACTTCAAGGTTATTTGGACCTTCATGTTGCCTGTCATTTTAAATACCGCTGATGCTGCAGTTCCAAGACTGGCTTTGCATTTTATTAAAACTCTGCTTTGAATAGGCAAGACTGAAAAGACTGGAGGTTGAAAGTTGATATTATCAGGTATGTTTAAATAATAGGACGACTAGTAATTGAATGGTCTATTGTGACTTTGAACAACCAAATGATGAAGGACTATGTCTTAATATAAACATGTATATTAATACTAGGATTAGTCATGGTGATCTGACTAGGAGCTAGAATAGAGGTAGTAATAAGAAATAGGGGGAATATTAGCAGATATAATTTTTACATAATAGAACATTAATTGATAATTAGATGGAAAGATTGGAGGTTGAAAGATGGTATTACTATGTATGCTTAAATAATACCATTGGCATTAAAAATGGAACACTGAAATATTGAGTAACTACTCCAAAAAAATCATGTCTGTATCAATACTAGGATTATATAAGTTTGATTAATGTAATAACTATTATTAGTGCTGTTTGTATCAAAAATGAATTATACCCAGAGGCCACACTGTCCATGTATTGATACTGATGTATATTTATTTAAAAATAAAAATCCAATAATTTTTTTAAAAAGGATAAAAACTCTGAAGATGTCGTTGTATTATTACTGTGAGCATTGTGTGAAAAAAATATATTAATCCAGTCATTATCCACAAAAAAAAACTACAAATAAAACATGCCCCCCCCCCCCCCAAAAAAAAAAAAGGGGAAAAGGGGGAACAACCACAAAAGGGGGGTGGCGCCACCACCCCCCCCTTTTCTCACCCCCCCCCCCCCCTCCCTTCTCCCCCCCCCCCCCAGCCGCCCTCCTAGAGGGGGAAGAGCAGCCGGCACCATAGGGCCGGAAAGCGGGGGGGAGGTTGGCAAGCACGCGCAAGAACAGCTGCAGAAGGGCGTCACGCACCTCCGCGCGCCATCCCTTTCTCCCCCCCCCCACTTTT